ACAAACTGAGGGCTGATGGGGGGTGGGAGGGAAGGGAGGGTGGGTGACGGGTACTGAAGAGGGCATCTTTTGGGATGAGCACTGGGTGTTGTATGGAAACCAATTTGACAATAAATTTCATATATTAAAAAAAAAAAAAAAAAAAGGAAGCAACCTGGACTCCTAAGTTGGTGATGGTGACAGGAAGAAAAGAAAGAATCCAAGAAAGAATTGTGTTAAATTCCGTCAGGTCCAACAATGGGGGATTGGTCAAATACGTTAAGGCACACTCATGTAACAGAGTTGCACACAGCAACTTAAGATGATGCCAGAGATGGGTATCAAATGACACTGAGAGACAGTCAAGGCAGGACACAATGTGCATGACATTTTTCCTTAAGGACAAGGTGAGCCTTTAATAAGAGTGCTCTCTCGCTCGCTCTCTTTTCCAGCAAAGACAGTATTTGTTAAAAACCTTTAATCTTTCTTGAATGTACATTTAAGAAGAGCCTCCTCATTACTCATTGGAATATACCATGGATAATGACAAATCAATTTAGAGATATCAGAAAAGGTCAATGGCATTTCCTGAAATCCAAAAATCCAGATTAAAAACCATCTTTTCAGTTTTCCGTCTATCATGGTTTGTTTAGGTAAGTTAATGAAGAGTTAGCTTATGGCTGGCTCTCTACCCTGTCATGGGCTGAAGTCTGCACCCCCACTGGATGCACATGTTGAAATACTAACTCCCATTATCTCAGAATATGACTGGTTTGGGGGATATAGCCTTCAATGAGGTAATTAAGGTAAAATGAGATCATACAGGTGGGCTCTATTCCAATCTGACTGGTGTCCTTATAAGAAGAGATTGGGACACAGGTGCAGAGGGAAAGGACTAGGAGAGAAGCCTAGAAAAAATGAACCATGTTGATACCTAGACAGATGTTGGAGTTTTCCCCTCCAGAATTGTGAGGAAACAGATTTCTATTGTTTAAACCACACTGTCTAATCCAGTGAAGAAATGGGCAGAAAACATGAATAGACACTTCTCTAAAGAAGACATTCGGATGGCCAACAGGCACATGAAAAGATGCTCAACGTCACTCCTCATCAGGGAAATACAAATCAAAACCACACTCAGATATCACCTCACGCCAGTCAGAGTGGCCAAAATGAACAAATCAGGAGACTGTAGATGCTGGAGAGGATGTGGAGAAACGGGAACCCTCTTGCACTATTGGTGGGAATGCAAACTGGTGCAGCCGCTCTGGAAAACAGTGTGGAGGTTCCTCAAAAAATTAAAAATAGACCTACCCTATGACCCAGCAGTAGCACTGCTAGGAATTTACCCAAGGGATACAGGAGTACTGATGCCTAGGGGCACTTGTACCCCAATGTTTATAGCAGCACTCTCAACAATAGCCAAATTATGGAAAAAGCCTAAATGTCCATCAACTGATGAATGGATAAACTGTGGTTTATATACACAATGGAGTACTACGTGGCAATGAGAAAGAATGAAATATGGCCCTTTGTAGCAACGTGGATGGAACTGGAGAGTGTGATGCTAAGTGAAATAAGCCATACAGAGAAAGACAGATACCATATGTTTTCACTCTTGTGGATCCTGAGAAACTTAACAGGAACCCATGGGGGAAGGGAAGGAAAAAAAAAAAGAGAGAGGTTAGAGTGGGAGAGAGCCAAAGCATAAGAGACTCTTAAAAAATGAGAACTGGGTGTTGTATGGAAACCAATTTGACAATAAATTTCATATTTAAAAAAAAAGAAATAGACTAGCTTTAGGGTATTTTTTCTGATATACAATTTTTTATTATAATAAATATTTCTTTATTTAAATAAATAAATAAATAAATAAATAAATAAATAAATAAACCACACTGTCTATGGTGCTTTGTTATGGCAGTCCTACCAAATACACCTCCTTTCTTTCTTTTTAATTGTAACAAATATATCCTGAATATAAAACATAATGCTTAGACTTGGCAGTTTGTCAGATACTGAAATATAGAATTTCCATATGATCCAACTATTCCACTTCTAGGTATACCCAAAAGGCCTGAAAGCAGGGACTCAAATACATACCCATACACAAATGTCCATAGCAGCATTACTGACAATAGCCAAAAGATGGTAACAACCCAGTGTCCACCAACAGATGAGTAGATAAACAAAATGGGATGTATCTATACAATGGAATATCATTTGGCCATAAAATGGGATGGAGTTCTGATACATTCTACAACATGGATGAACCTTAAAAACATTATGCTAAGTGAAATAAATCAGACACAAAAAGCCACACGCTGTATCATTCTATTTACACGAAATACCCCAAACAGGCAAATCCATAGAGACTGAAAGTACAATAAAGGTTACCAGATGCTAGGGGAGGAGGGAAATAGAAAGCTGGTGTTTAATGGGTTCAGAGCTTCTATTCGGGAGGATGAAAAAGTTCTAGAGATGGATGGTGATGATGGATGGTGATGATGGTTGTACAACATTGTAAATATACTTAATGCCACTGAATTGTACACTTAGAAATAGTTGAAATCAAATTTATGGTATATATATATATTTACCACAATTTTTTAAATTGCCAAAAACAAAACCAAAAACTAATGCATAGGCAACTGAGCAATTTTTACATTTTGTGGATATTTCTTTATGGTATTAAAAATATGTACTTTCTTTACAGCATCTAGACTTTCTTTTAGTCTGAGTCTCAAATGGAGGCTGCGGCCAGCTTTCTGTTCAGATTTCCTCATACCCCCAAAGGCATATAAATGTGTCTTGTAAGCAAATATTCCAGTGGAGACCCCAGCAGGGCCAGCAAGCCAGAAGAACAATATTTGCAAGGATGTGCAAGGAAGAAGGGATAAGCCAGAGGTTTGTGGGTATGAATCTTACCTTTGGCTTTCTTAGGGTGCAACTCAAGCACTGACCTTGCCTGAGGCATTGACTTTGCCATCCACCATCAGGAAAAAAAAATGTCTACTTTCCTAATGGGAATAACTGCCTTCACTTCAGATAAAGCGCTAGAGGACAAGGTTCACAAAGGCACTTGCTGATCCCTGTGTTGAGTCAGGCTCATATGCAGGTAGGCATCGAATGTGCACTGCGACCATTCACAATTTGAGGACTGCCTGGCACAGCACTTGGATTCAGCTTTGCTTGTTCAGAGTACGTCTACAGTTGTGCCTGTTGCCAGGAGAGCAAAGTGGTTGGCCTCCACGGAGGGTGAGGTGGGAAAACCTGTCTGCAGCCAGGCAAAGCCAGTGAGCCATTACTGAGAGTCTTCATGATGCAGAGGCTTCTGAATGTGCCACAGAGGCCTCATCAAAAAAGGGCTGGGAAGGTCGTCCTGGAAATGAAGGTGGCACCCAGGAGAATAATGGGCAGCTGAAGCTGCTGCCTCATAGAAACACATCCAAATGTGGACCTGAAGCAGAGGGGTAAAATGACAGTGAGCAGAACATTTTAGAAGAGAAAGGAATTCCTGTGGGAAATTCACTTTAAATAAATCCAATCTAAAAGAATCTACATTTACAAAAGAAGTAAATAGTGTGGGTGAAAGTGATTTTTGTTTTACAAAGGGGTTCATAACAAGATAAGATTCCTTTCAATAACATTTCAATGAAATTATATAAAAATGGAGTCCTCCTTTTTAGGAGCTAATCTATCAAAGAGCCTGGGCTGCAAACAACAAGCTGTGAGAACCCTTGAGACCTCATCTTAGTTTTCTTATTTGCAAAAGGAAAAGGCAGGGCTGAATATGATCTCTTAAGCACTTTTAATATGAAAATGATTCCTCCAGGGACGCCTGGGTGGCTCAGTCGGTTAAGCATCCAATTTCAGCTCAGGTAATGATCTCACAGTCTGTGAGTTTGAGCCCCGCGTCAGGCTCTGTGCTGACAGCTCAGAACCTGGAGCCTGCTTCGGATTCTGTGTCTCCCTCTCTTTCTATCCCTCCTCTACTTGCACTCTGTCTCTCTGTCACTCAAAAATAAACATTTAAAAAAAGAGAGAGAGATAAAAATAAAATCCAAAGTCCATACCATCGTCTCTGAGGCCCTATTTGATTTGGCCCCTGACTACCTCTCAGGGTCTTAGCTCACTTCACTCTCCTCCTTGCCCACTACACTCCATTCATACTGCCCTCTTTCTGCTCCTGGAACATACCAAGTTTGTTTGTACCTCAGGGCCCTTACACTTGTTCCCTCTGCTTGGGATCCTTTCTTCCCGATTTTCAGAGTTGGCTCCTTCCTGATGTTCAGATCTCAGCTCAAATGTACTTCCTTAGAGAGGGCCTCCCTTGAGCTAGTAGATATATAAGGAATTCAACACCCAGCCAAGAATGCACATTCTTTTAGGGTACACATAGAACATTTACAAAAACAGACATTAATTAGAATATATATTTCCTTCGATGATCAATATGATACAGACTAGGTTCTCCAACTGCGTATCAATGAAATTAGAAATCGATTTTTAATTTTTTTAATTAATTAATTTACTCATTTTGAGAGAGAGAGAGAGAGCAGGAGAGGGGCAGAGAGATAGGGAGACAGAGAGAGACAATCTCAAGCAGGGTCTGTGCTAATAGCACAGGGCTTGATCCCACAAACCATAAGATCATGACCTGAGCCAAAATCAAGAGTCGGTTAATCAAGTTTAACCAACTGAGACACCTAGGCGGCCTAGAAATTGATTTTTTAAAGATGGATTTTAAAAATGTTTGGAAACCAAATAACATATTGCTAAATTACTTTTGGAAATATTTAAAACTAGATAATAATAAAAACACCATGTCAAAATTGGTGGGACACAGCAAAAGCACTACTTTAAAGGGAAATTTATAGGTTTAAATACATTTATCAG